GGAATCTGGGTAATGCTTCACAATGCCCCTCGCAGAGTCAGGGCCCAAAGAAAACAGAACACCAGTCTCCCTCACCAGACCACAAAGAATGGAGGACTTTTGCTCCCTGCATTGAGGAGACTACGGCAAGCCTGCTAAAGAATCACATTTAGCAGCTGCATTTATTTTTTTTAATTGCTAAGGATAGAGATGGATTATTATTTATTTGGCCCTAGGGATTGAGCCCAGGGCCTTATCACTGAGCTATATCTGCAGTCTTTTATTTTTTTAATCTTGAGATAGGGCCTCACTAAGTTGATAAGCTGCCCGGGCTTGGGCATGAACTTCTGATCCTCCTGCCGCAAGCTCTCGGAGTGCTGTGACGGCAGACATGCATCACTTTGCCCATCTACTTACCTATTTTTGGAATCATTAGCATTCATCATCCACTGAGATAAAACTGGCAAATAAAAATTGCATATATCTAAGTTATACAATGATACATATATAACTATTACCACAAACCAATTAATATGTCCATCACTTCACACAGTTATTATGTTGTTATATGTGATAAGAACAGTTAAAATCTAGTCTCTTAGAAACTCTTGTTTCCATTATTATGAACCGTATTCACTATGCTGTACTTTACATCTCTGGAACTGGTTCTTCATATAACTTCCCTTACCTGTGGGGTAGGGAAAATGGGGGATATTTGTCAAACAGTAAAAACTTGCTACAGTTGCTTATACTGTAGCAGAAGACGCCGCCAGCCAGTACACTGCAGTTTGCTAGTTGAGCAGGTACCAGCTCCTGTTCCAGTGCCCGCGACTTCTGTTCCTCAGGAATGGCTGGTCGCTGTGATCCGCACTGTGAGAACCAGAGACAGCCAAGCGCTCTGCCTCTGTGCGTCCCCTGGCAGACCCCACGAAAGCCTCCCTCCCTGAGCCTTTGGCTGACGTTCTGAGAGACAGTTGATTCCTAGTCAGTGCCTGTCTAACGTTGGATAAATCTGCCTCCAAATCCTGGGTGTCATTTTGGTGTCGCAATAAAAGAGACGCTTCACTCTTGGTCTTTGGTTTTAATGTTTGTTCTACTTCGTTTCCAATTAGGAAATGGAAAGCCTTTTCGCTTTGCTTTATGTCAGGCTGCGACTAAATTCTTTTCAATAAATTTATGCCTTTAAAATGGAGCCGCTTCATGTGAGCCCCTTCAGTTCATACTAAAGTGGGTTACAGTGACCAAACACTAGTTCGCTGGTGAGGGAGCTACCTGGGAAAAGGTACAAGGACACACTTAACGTTCAGAAAAAAGTGACAAATAGGATTGCTTATTTTCTTTCTTCTACTTTTTCTTTTACTTCACTCTAATATTCCAAACAAACAACTTCTATTTCTTTGCCCTCAAATATCAATGTGTCTTAGAATAAGTGAGTAGGCTTATGAAAAACAGATTGCTGCGTCCACGCCCAAGGGGCCCCAAATCTAAGCGTGACCCAGAGCTCTGCACTGTAGAAAACATGCCAGAGGATTTCTGCTGCAGTGGTCCAGAGATTACACTTTAAGAGTGACCAACTTATTTCTTGAACGGGCAAACACATTTTACTAACAAAATAATACTTTAGTGACAGACTACTTTGAGCAATACAAATAGTGTAACTTGAGCAAGATCTTAAAAACAAGGCTGGCTCCTTGCAAACTGGGATCCCTTCCAAGCAGGGATTCCATTCACACAAAGCATAATAGAATTTTGCCCACAGATTCTATTCATACTGTATACTCTGGTCTGTGACTGATACTCCTAGACTGATAGGAAAGGTGGCCCTGATAAGGGAAATACAAACATCTCGGTACAAAAGAATTACCTATTGTCTCACTCAACTGCTGCAAACTCTTATTCCTTTCTATGCAGAGGACGGCAATAATGGTTCTCCCAGCAGCAAGGTTACAAGGCTTTTCTTCATTCTAGTTGTACCGTGGTTCATTCCCAGACACAGTGCAGAGAAAAATATTTCTTACTCCCACCTTATCCACACTATGTTACCAGCACACAAGCTTTTGCCAATTTCTCACCAAAGCTGCCTTGAATCCCTGCTGCCATTTCTCTCAAATGACTTGAGGTCCCCCTTTAAATCCCCGCATGGAACACTCCTTAGTGTTGTCTTTCTCTTTCTTAAATCTCTCATTCTAACTTCCTCAGTTAGAAAATGTTTCCTCTAATTGGTGACCTAGCTTTTTGGATGGGTCAGATTCTTTTCCGGTGAATATTTTAAAACCACTAAACAAAACAAAACATGTTATGAATAAGGTTTTACAGATTTACCACAATTACAATGTGCCCAACCTAAAGAAGCTGTTTCCTGCCCAAGGTTGGGTCAGGGAAAGAGCCATATTTACATTTGTATCAAAAGCTCCACTCTAAAGAGCAGCTATATAAATTAAGCTCCAGTTAGGTCAAACAAAGAGATTTTGTATAAACATTTTGGAAGACATAATTGTGTACTAACTATTTAATCCTTATTAAAACTCACAATAAGCGTAGTATCATCCTACCCATTGTATAGTTGAAGGAGCAATGGACAGTAGCAATGCTACTTTCTGACAGCTACATACCAAGTAATTGGTAGGGTCAGACTTTGTACCCAGGGATTGAGAATCACAATTTACAAAATCATACTTCCTAAAACAAGGCTAAAGTTTATATTGCTAAAATTCTTCAGGTATTATAAGGTCTTCTATGCCCCTAAGATATCATTGCCTGGTCTTTTCTATCATAAAGTTCCTACTAAGGCAACCGGAGTTGGAACTATACTTTTAAAAGCCCATCATAAAGCCGGACTACAGCCTCAGAGCAACAAGACTTTTCCCTTTCACACATAAGCACCGCTAGAAAACATGCCTGGAATATTTTACAGAATAAATCAACTAATCCTAAAGCACAGAGAATCAGAAGCCTCAGGGAAGAGGACTTAGGATGGGCCAATTTTGTTGGGGAAATGAAAAGAAAGTTTTGCAGATTAAATCACTGATTAAATTTCTTTGGACAGCTCTGGGAAGCAGCGATTAGCAAACACGCTCTGAGGAACTGAACCAGATGAGTGGGTGCTTAAAGTGAGGGACGGACTGCCCAGGAAAGATTCAGCCTACTTCACATTTTGTTCTGTTCTCCGCAGTCTTCTTTCTAATTGGATGTTCAGAAATGGACTTGCTGTGCACAGCTGCTCGCTTTGCAATGGATTTTCAGTGAACCTTTCTCCAGATCTGACCATTAAATGCTATTGATTACTCAAAATATGCCCCAGCCTCTGGCACACTACTCCCCATCACACTTTACCCCTTATTTTGCTTCTACAAAACTTACACGGTTATCTAAAACCATTCTCCGTGTTGTGATATGCTACACTGTTATATGCTTTGCTATATTACTGCACTTGCTTGTTCATTTTGTTTCTTCTCTAAAGTCCATGAAGGAGCCTTGTTAATATCACTCATCCCTGCCTTGTTAGCGCATAATAGCTACTTTGTGGTATATACGCACAGTAGCACGTATGGTCCTTGCTCTGTAGCAGGCACCCAATAGATATTTGATAGATGAGCCAATTTGCGGTGTACGCTATTATAAAAGGTGGTGAGGGACTTAGTACATGATATTATTTCACGTTTACTGTTTTCTAGGCCTGTTCAAAGCATCTCACATCTATTAACTCTGTTACTAGTCATTTTGCTTCCATGAGGTATCTACTATTATCATTCCCATTTTAAAATAAAGTCAGGTATAGAAAGTAAATAATTTAATATCTCATGGCTGGGTAGTGACAGAGCTACTATGAGACAGAGATTTTCTGCTCCACAATTCTCTTAAACTTAATACTAAAATAAGATATGACACACTTGTTTGTTTAGGAAGAATATCTCACCGACATGGAAAATGCATTTCACAGTGATTAACAGATGAAGGCATAATTCACGCATTTCTAAGGGTACTGATTATGAGCATGCTCCCTGAGGACTGACGTGTTCAAAGAAGGGCTCACAAAGCATCTGAGACTTGGCCTATTTATGAGTAATAGTTTGACTAGTGATGGAGTCTCTTATCATTGAAACTCCAGGGATTGTAGGGAAAAAGTTTGCTGCAGGAAGGATGCGATACAAAGGGCCATGATCATATAACACGCAAATATCTTGAAACCTCTGTTTACCTTGGATTTAGGATATTTACCCATTCTTGCAAAAAAGTTGGGAGGAAAAACACAGGGAATGAAGGGTAACAGTGAGGAACTGTCGGTCTCCCGAGGAGATTCTGGAGGAGGTAACGTCGCCTCTGGGACAGCATGGCTCGAGAGTCAGGGATTCCTCTTGAAGAAAGCGAGATAATCAATACTCACTCAAGTCCCCTCTGCTGTCCTCTGCCCTGAGCACTCAGCTGCTGTTATCAGGGTGTTTAGGAAGCCAGAGCTTTGTTAGTAAGGCCTCATCAGTACTGGTGGGAATGTCCCAAGTGAAGTCAGAATTTCTACACACGATCCGCCACTGATTGCTGTGCTGATTACAGCTGTCAAAAGCTTGGCACTGCTGCTGATGGGAGCTGGGTTTGCTCATTTTCCTCTGGGTTCAGACCTGAGGAACAGTCTTGAACACTGCTTCCCATGAGATGGGAAATGGGTTAGAAAAGAATGCGTGAGATACGGGTTCCATTTCTAACGACCCATCCAGAAAAGGAGTATAAGATCCGGCGGTGGCACTTCGGTGCCCTCCCTTATCAGGGCGGCAGGATTCGCGATTCAGTGAGCTAAGAATTGGAATCTTTTTTCTAGAAAATTGGTTTTGAAAGTGCCCGGTGGCACTTTCAAAGTGAGTAAGAGGTTTTGTGCACGGAGGTTTTCAGTTGATGTTTGTGTTTTTTCTTATTATGACTTGAAGGAAAAATCCAAAATCTAAAGTTAGCCCTTGTTTTTTAACTTGGAACTTTGTAAACATGCCAACAGTAGTGTGTGTGTGTGTGTGTGTGTGTGTGTGTGTGTGTGTGAGTGTGTGTGTTTCAGTAAACAATATTACAATTTCTTGACATTTTCATTGCTGTTTCTTGACATATTTAGTGAGGCTTTAAAGGGCTTTTTTTTCAGAGAGGAAAAAAAGAAAGAAGAGAAAAATGGCTGTCTTCCAAATCACCATATGTTTCCAATTGCAAATTCAAAAGCAGAAGACAGGCCTTAATTCAAGCTGTGCAGCTTTTGTGGGGTTATGGAACTAGGGAGGTAGGTTCTCTTTTAAAATTTACTTATTAGAATTTTAGTATTACTCGGTGACAAGTGATTGATTAGGAGAAAAATAAAGCCTTTAGAAAATATTTGTTGGGAAATATTTATGTGTAACATCCTAGACAGGGCAGTAGAAAGAAGTTTAGATAAAAATCTCACTGGGGATAAAACATATGAATGAAAGCAAATATCCAGTATAGGGTGGTAAATGGAGAGCTTCCACTCAGAAACTTTCTAGGAGATCAGAGGAAGAAGCTGACCTACCCAATGAGGGACTCATGGAAGAGGTACAGTCTGAGCTGGGCCTGATAGATGGTCAGACATTCCAGTGAAAGCAGCTATCAAGTTAGGGTCACGATGGTGGAGCTATGAGGCACGTTCAGCTATGTTGTCTAATCTGTGTGTCTGTACCGTGCTATGTAGGGTGGGGAGTGCATAACGGGGAGAAGATTAGAAAATAAGTAGAGGTACGATTACAGTGGACTGGAAGGATAGGCTTGATGCATTATTATCATTGCTTTTTAGTTTCATTTAGTTCAAACAATTCCACAAGCTAAGTAATTGTCTCAAGTCAAATAGTGGACATTTTGTTTTTGGGGGTTTTTGGTTTTTGTGTTTGTTTGTTTGTTTGTTTTCCGGTACCAGGAATCGAACTCACGACCTTGCTCTTGCCAGGCAGGCGCTGTGCCACTGAGCTAAATCCCCAGCCCCAATAGTGGATATTTTGTGAAACCAGAATTGAACTGAAATCTGCTGGATTCCAAATCCTCCCAACCTTAATAGCTTCAGTGGATGCGCAGATTTGACTAACAACTGCTGTCGGGTCAGTACGTGAGATATTTCATCAGGAGCAGTAATATTTTTAAGCAAGGCAAAGAAATTAGAATGGGTAAGTTAAAGAACTGACTTGACCCCCGGTGCCCACATGGGTGCACTGAGGTCCCCAGTACTGTCTTACTATGGGTGAATCCTCACCTATCACTTAACACTGGAGTTCCCGTCTTTAATGTGGGCAGTCCTCCTTCTGCATGAATGTTGCAGGCAAACATTTACTGAAAGACAGATGCAAGATGGGCAGTTACAGTAGCTCAGAGTGGTCCCGTATGGTGGTCCCATATTTCCTAGTTGGATAACGGTCCTCCTTGGAGCACTTAACAGTTTTCTAAAACTCAGGTCCTTGAGTCAAATCCAGTTAACTGAAGTGGCAGTGAGCTGGGCCCTCAGAAGCCATGGCTTGTGAGAAATATGCGTCTAATTGGCAAAAGGATTTATTGCTTCACTTTGCTGAAAAACAAGGGGCTGAAGTAGCTTCAAGTGCAGCAAGATCCAGATACTCAGAAAATATATGTAATTTTTTATTCTCTACCTCTCAGCTCCGCTGGCCTCAATATCGGTTTATCCTCAGGCTGGTTCTTCAAGTGCTGGCCAACAGGCTAACATCTTTCAGTTCCGCCCCCCAGGGAAACGAAGGTACTGGAAGGTACTGCGACTTACGCACTGCCGCTTCTTCCAGACGTGCAGCAAGATTCCCGGCTTTAATGATCCAGCAGGAGACACAGGCTTATTCCTAAAGCTCGTACAGTGGCCGGTAAATCTGACGCGCTCACTGGCTCGTCTGATGCCCTCGTCTTGCGCTCTCACTGGCTAGTGCAAGCCCACGCTAGAGTTAGGACGTGGGTCTAGCTGTGCCCAAGCCTCAGAGCGCGTGGTAAGAGAAACGGGCGGATCTTCAGGGGAAACTGTGTTGCTGCTGATGAGAGAAGGAGCAGAGGTTCCCGAGCGCGACCGGTGTGAGGCGTGCAGAAGGGGCCAGGGCATCGCAGCAAGGGAGCCATCTGTCTCCAAACAAAGCAAGAGCAGCTTCTAGGGTTCCCACTTTCTATGGGTGTTGGTGCCTCAGAGCATCTTCTCAGGTCGCAGAAGCGACGGTTTCTTCGTGACACCCTTGGCTCCAGAATTGCCCGACCAGCTGGGCGGAGTCTCACATCCTCCCTCGGGCATGCAGACCTTCCCCACTCACCCCAGCACCCGCCTGGTACACACGTACTTTCACGTCTTCAAACATACCTCTCAGGAGCACTCAGACATTCTTTCTGTCGGCTTCTCTAGCATAACAATTTAGCCTTTATTTTCCTTTCTGTTTTTTTTGATGACCATTACTCTTTGTGGGTTTGCCTTGGGAACAGTAACTCACAACAGGCCATCTTAATAAGCTCTAGCGGTACATGGAATAAACTGTTTCCCAACTGCTGTGGTGAGGAGGCCTAAGGAACCCAATCTGCCCCTGGCAGCTGATGTGTCTTAGACCTACGAAAGGACATGCACACATGTATGAATGAAAGTCAGCCCTGAGCAAAGTCCCATAACAAGGTGTGTGACCTCATCTCCTGCTCAGTTTTCTCAGAAGGCCAACTCTTTTTCTCAAAGAAGACATAGAGTGGAAAATCTTCTAGAACTTTCTAAGAGACTCATTTAGATTTTCCCCTACTGCAATGTCTCAGTGCTAAGAAAAGTTTTGGGGTCCTTCCTGTATGTGCGGTAGCTTGGTCTTCCCCTCAGAGGCCCCCACCAGATATGACGGTTTGAGAGTTTATTAGACCAGGCTCTGTACAATGAAAGGCTTTAAAAGATGCATGTTGTGGGCCTGCCAGCATGAAAGTTAATATCCATCTTGAGGTAATTCTGTTTCTTATACACAAGAGACCCTATAGAAACCTTGGGAATAATATTTTTGGCTGTTATTTTTCACAGTGTGGCAGATTTAGGGCAAGAAGAGTCAGAAACCCAGCTTCCCAAGAGGCTCCTGACAAGTGCAGAAGCCCAGCTCTTCACCCTGAAGCTCTACCTCTTGTAAACTGCAAGCACTGTGGTGCTGAGCCTGCCCAGCTTCCAGAATGCAGCCAGTCCTGCCCAACCAGTCTGTTAGGGAATGAAGTGATTTATAAGCCAGAGTCTGAGGGAACCAAAAGGAAAGGAACGAAAATAAAGCTTCTGAAGAGTTGAGCTAAGAATAGTTTTCTTTCCTCATCGTTCCAGGTCCTCTGAGGAAGCCTCAGCACACAGGCGGGGCTCCTGTGGAAACCCATAGCAAATCTACAGGACACTCGAGCTATCGGCTGGGCCGCTCCTTCCCTCTGGACCTGAACTGGGTCTCACCATCCTTCTCATCACAGCCAAGCCCTTCAGAAAGCACATGAACTGAAACCCGGTGCTTCTCTATGGCTTTGTACTGAGCTCTAGCGTCATGTTTTCCTCCTCTAGCCAAATATCACTGATTCTCTATTATTTCTCCTCTCTCGATCGCACTTGAAACTTTTCGTCGTTTATTTGCCTATGTTTATCCTGAGACTTTGCAGTAATAGCATAAGGACCTTGAGGTACTCGTCTGTACCCATAGCTTTCAGTACTCACTGGAGTAAAAACATACCAGTAGCTTACTGATTGACTTAACATATATTGGACAAATAATTTAGCTGCTGTGTATGGGAGAAGGAAGTAACATTTTTTCAGCGATATTGCCAGGTAGAATGCTAAGTGTGCGTACACTATCTAGTTCAGTATTCACCACAGAACTTGGAGGTAAGAGGCAGGAATATTGTCATATGCCTATAATTCTTCCTAATGGAGAGGCTGAGGCTGGAGGGCAGTGAATCGGGTACAGCCTGGGCAATATAGTGACCTTAGAAAAAGAGCTTGGAGTTAAGCATTATCATTATTATCTTTATTTTTGTAAATTAAGAAATAAATTCAGAAAATTTTCAAAACTGATTAGTAAGATACCTTAGGTAAAGTAATAGATTTAAGAAATGTCAACACTTAGACCCATCTCTCCAAAGAAAAAAGGCTATACAAGACAGCACCATGCTTTCAGAAATGAATCAGTGTACTTGATAGGTTCCATATTTTGATAGTGGAAGAGAAGAGAATAGTTTAAATCAGAACTACTGTACAAAATCCAGGAACTGTGATGCTTGTAATAATACAGAAATTAAAAGTTCTGTTTTTCTAAGATATGTATTTCTAGATTTCCATTTACTCTTCCTACTATAAAAAGGATTTTCATGGTTGATGTTTAAAACCATGCCCTTTTCAACAATGATGAATAATACACTTTTGTCAGCCTCAAAGAACTCAAGATCTACTAAACAGAACCAAACATAAATAGAAAGTTATATCACATGGGAGAAATGAAGAATAAAAACATACAGAGGACATTAAAGGACCTCAGAGAAAAAAGTCCTTGTCCAGGCTGCAATTTTTCTTGGAAGAGCCAGAGCTGTCTGTATTCATGCTGCTCACCACTGATTTCCCAATAGCTACCATCCTGCCTGGTGCCCAAAATGAGCTTGGCCAGCACTTGTGGGATGAATGAATGAGAACACGAATGACAGAGCTCTTAGTATTGAAGTTGGTGAGCAATTAGCTAGATATAGAAAGAAAGTTAGGGAGTACGGGCTCATAAAATAAAGCAAAAAGGACCTCATTCCCTGGATAAAGAAAATGTAGTACACATACACATTGAGAATTATTCAGTCATATACAGGGATAAAGCACTGTGATTTGTGACAGCAAGGATGGACCTGGAGAATATTATATTAAGTAAAATAAGTCAAGCACAGGAAAACCATTCCCACATGACCCCGTGCGTTTATAGAATCAAAAATAGTTGACCTTCTAGAAGTTGAGACTAGAATAGTGGTTACCAATGGCTGGGAAAGGTAGAGAGGAAGTGGAGTTAGAGGGCCCGGCCAACAGGCACAAAGTTAGAGTTAGATGCAAATAAGTTCTGGCACTCTATGCCGCAGCAGGGTGAATACAGTGAACAAGAATGCATTGCATATGTCAAAATAGACAGCAGAAAGGACTTTGAAAGTACTTACCAAAAATGATACAAGTTTAACGTGAGAGATGTACTAATTACCTAATCTAATCATTGCACAAAGTATACATGAAACATAACATAGTACTGTATCCCATAAAAATATGCAATTATTATGTGTCAATCAGAAAAAAAGAGTATCATTCCAGGCAGAGGACGCTGCAAAAGCAAAGGCACACAGAAAAAAAAATGAAAAAATCAGATCACTTGAGAAGAGATTATAATTAGCTTTACATTACTGGAGCATTCCACATGCATATGGGACTAAAACAAGAGAGGTCTGGACCAAAAAGTCTGGGCGATAATCAGGGGTAGTACTGGAAATAGTAGACAATGGTGCAGTAAAGCACCAAACTGTCAGAACATGTGTTGCTCTAGAGGCACTGTGGGCTGGAAAATGCTACCTTTTTGGATGCCCGATTGCAGGAGAAAGTCTGAGGACTTCGCAGGTGGAGTTGGGTTAGATGGGACCCTGAGTGACTGTGGAGGAATTAGCAATCATTTAGTCATCTCGAGTAGCCAGAGAGGGGGCAGAGCACACACACCGAAAGGGAGAGGTGGTGGGAGCTTATAGAAATGCTTTCCTAACCGCTCTCTTTCCTCAGTGAAATACACAGCTGGGTGACAGGTTGAGAATGAGGACGCAGAGAAAGGACCAGAGGTCTGTTGAGGAACAAAAAGATGTGTGGTAGTCTTGCAAAAAAAAAGACAAAGGGAATCCGCGGGGCATGTGGTGGTGTGGGTGGGCAGCTCTAAGAACCTATTTAAAGCTCATGGCCGTGTGACCAAGGTAAAACCGAGCACTACAGCTCTGTAAGTTTTTTTCTAGGCAATACTAAGCTACGTGAATGCCAGTGTACAGCAGGCAGTGCTGGATTTAAACACAGTTGTGTTTCTTCTGGTGGAATGAAAAACAAGCTGAGTGTGATGTCACAGGATTCCTCTAGTGCTTTGGTTACTCTTTATGGTGAGGAAGGGGTGAACAGAGCATTTCTCATCCTATCTCCTGAATTAATTTCCCACACATCCCCTGCTCTCTCGCTCCTCTCCTTCACAACTCATTTTCCTGGAAATATTGTCCACATTGACTGCTTTTATTTTGTCATTTCCCATTGAATTTTGCCGTACTTCTCTGCGTGTTCCATCCAGTCTTCTTTGTGAGTTCCTTTCTACCCAATTTCTTGCCCTCCATGTTAGCACTGGGCTTCCTCATCCACACCAAGGTGTGCATTACCATGTACTCACAGATGACTTCCAAATCTCTAGCTGTTTTCTGAGGTACAGTCAGCCTCACCCATTTCTTACTCAGTCTAAATGTTCCACTCATCTTCCTGTAGCACAAGCTTAAATGTCCTAAATAATTTATTTTATTGCAATATTTTAGTGTTCTCTCTCTTGTGATTTTACTGTCTACCAGATTTCTCTACTTAGAGTCCTGAGAAGTCTTTATTTTTGTATCCTCATAACATGTATCTGATTAATTAAACATCAAGCAACCATCAATTCTACCATCTTTGTAGTTTTCTGAATTTCCCAAATTACTGGTGGTGAATACATAATCAGAAAAAATATTAATTAATAAAATATATATGTGAATGTAATCTGTGTCAGTATTAGATCATCTCTGCACTCTGGGAAAGCTGAGCATGGTCTTTATGTACAGCCTGGCAGCTTTTGGCTTCTGCAAAAAGAGACTGGGGGCAGAGCCATGGATGTGTAATCTGTTTCTCATTGAATTATCAAAAAAAAAAAAAAACAAAAAAACAAAAGGAATGGAAATTCCACCCACTGACTAGCCCTAGTCACACAACTCAACATTTTCACATAATTATAACTGTTAAGTTGGGGTCACTAGAAAAAATTCCAAGCAAGACTATGAGTCTTTTCTCTTACAGTGTCAGACTTCTACGGGCACATGGGCAAGAACTTACCTTTCTCTCTGGAGCTGCCATGCTTTATGACTTCTAGCAGCAAGCAAGTTGAGCTGAGTTCTTGGAAAATACTGGGTAGCTGGGGCATATCAAAGGGAACTTGGAGTGATTTATGTGGTTTAAAAATTCTTGGGGCAAAACTGCCTTCCTGTTGCTTCTGGAAACTGCAGTCCAGAATTGGAAAGGAGGTAAACAACAGGAACTCCCTCACCATTCGGTTTGCTTCCCATTTGTATTTAGCTAATTATTTTATGCTAATAAGAGAGCTTGTTTTTCTGATTCTCCAGTCTTCTTTTTTTCTTCTTCTTCTTTTTGGAGGCTTACTGGAACCGTGTGCAACCATGGGACACATTTGGACAATGGCACCCATCGGCTCACTTTCAGCTCAGACACAAGTGGAGCCAGGTGCCTTCTGCCACGCAAATCAGGGAAGAGAACTTTTTCACCAGCTTCCCCTCACTCTCTGCTCCACTATGCCCACAATGAGTGGAATTCATTTGGTGCACGACATTGAAATTTCCAAGGTTAGCAGTACTGGAGATTTCAACGTACTGGTTGGTGGTCATGAATTTAAAGTAGGGTCAGTAATCGTGTCCAATGTCCTCGGTTCCCAACCCCCAGCACGTACTCATAACATCTGCAAAATCTCCCCACTTCAGCCACGGCAGGTCCTGAGTCATAACCTCTTTCATTTCTCTAAACTTTCTATTTGTGTCTGTTTTCCTTATTCCACAAATTTGCCCCCTTGTAGTAGTTTCTTCTCTTATTTTTTGTGACCCTGAGGATTAATATCCCTTTCTATTCATTTACTATCATTTTATCCAGATTGAAGGAAGGAGGGAATGGAAATCAGTCAGTATTTTTTTAACCAGTACCCTTAATTTGTTTGTGTGTTTATGTTTTTGCTACTAAACTTTTAATTTCTTCAAGAAGAACTGAATTGATTAATTTTGTTATGACCATCTTGTAAGTGTCTGGCATTTTCAGTAACTTTCACTGAGGAAAAAGACTGAATGAATTCCTCTAAGAGTTCTTTTGCAAAGCCAATTTCTAGAGCAGACTATAAGCTGTATATAAAAATTCAGACAGATAATGATTACAGAGCAGATACTGCTGCTAGGAATTGTGTCAAATATGCTTTGGGATCTGTAGAAAAGCCAGAATGCATTTTCCTAAATTGTGTTTGCAGTGATATGATGTTTGTCTTTGACTCACATATAATCAGGTCTCCAAGAAAAGCTTTTCGTTGCCCAAAGGTGGAACATGTTTATGCAGTACCCACTGCCCCTCCTGAGCCGCCACCTCCAACCCCCACCAGGGCTGTGTCTTCTCTGAGTGTTCTCAGGGTGGGATTGCCCGCCAGCCTGAATTCCTGGCTCAGGCAGTTGAGTGGGAGAAGAGGTGGGTGGTTCCATAATTTATTTTTGCATGCCTGATTTAAACCATCCCCTTCTCACCAAATGGGAGCTTTCAGCTCTTAGAGAAGGCATGCAGCCTCCTTGCCTCCCTACCTTTCAACCTTCAAAGAAACCTTCCACCAGATCAAAAGATTAAGGCTTCCTCCAGAATTCCAAGCCAGCTGGTTCTGAGAATTTTAAATGTTCCTGAAAAAAAGCATCTGTTCTTCCCATCTTATTTCTATCTTCCTTTTATACTAAGTATCTATTCATTTATGTCTGCTAAAGCCAATAAGTGGAGAATTTATAGTTTGTAAACCCAAAGAACTCTATTCCACACATTCATCATTACCCTGGTTTTGCTTGCTCCGCAAAGGGTGCAAAATAAGACTTTTGATCCCTGTTTCTAACAGGTTGCCCGCCTGACATGCTCAATGCTGACTGCAGCTAGCTTTCTCAGGTTAACGTGCAGCATTTGCACCA